AGGGCAGGTGTGAGCACCAGGCAAAGCAAGGCAAGGTGCCCTGCATGCAGGCTTTCCTGAAGAACATGCCAGGCTAACATGGCCAGTATCTTGATATAGTAGCCCTTCTTTTGTATGCATTTATAGCGTCTCCTACAGAGTTATACTTACACGCACACGCGGTCACAGATGCTCTCTGATATGCACACATGTGCGCCCTTGTGTGCCATCGTATGTAAAGACCTGCTCTTTCTAGCACACACACACACACAGAGGTCTGGTGCCCCTCCCTTCATTGGGGGAGAGGCCCTAAAATGCTCCCATGGGAATCCCTTGGATTGCTCTGTGCTACAGATGCTTTCATCACTTACCATTTGTGCTGAAGAAGAGATGCACAAAACATAAACCCTGCTGCCCTATTTTAGAAAACCGCCTTGAAGCCTGACACTGTCTGTTGCCATGGCGATTCCTTGTAGCTACACATGCCTGATGAGTGCCCTTGCCTGCAGGTGCCTGGTAGATGGCTCTTCCCTGCCCACTCTCACTCTGCAGGTTGGGAAGTGGCTGCTGATAAAGGAGGTATTTTATGTCTGGCTGCAGACTTTCCTCTGCAGTTCCAGGCCCTGTCTGTAGCACAGTACCACCTCTTTCCTGACTGACTCATCCTTGGACTCCCCCACTTGCAGGAGTGCTTTTGAAGTGCTCTTTACACATCCTATCCATACTGCCCAGTCTCATTTGAAACCAGCTTTGTAGGTATGTTTCCCAGCCCTGTGTTGATAGGCTTGGATAATCTGGAATGTGTGCAGCTGACCAGAACTTGGCTGCCTTGGGTTTTGTCCCTTCCCATCTCTATATACTGATGGGAGAAGCAAGCAGCCTTCCCCATGATCTCTGAGACAACAGCGAGGAAGCTTATGGCTACCACAGTGCTAACAGAGACACCAAGAGTTCTGGATCCATCTGCCCAGAAACACTGGGGGACTGTTCTATACTCTGTGGAAAATGAGAATTTAGAAGGATTTCAGTCCCCATACTGGGCTCCTCCCTGCTTCCTCTAGACAGAGGAAATGTGGTAACTTATTGCCTGCTGCTGAGCTATAATTATGCATTTTGGCTGCACTGACTGCAGTGCCTGTCTGACCTGAGTTTGAAAAAGAAAACTGGCTTCTTATGGGTTTCCTTATAAATGTCACCACGCAGCAGTTAATAACCCACTGTCCTTTGCTTTCTCTCTATCTAATCACTTTCTAGGCACTAACAAATTAGCCCTTGTAAACCCCTGGGACAAATGAGCAAACTGAGGCACAGAGAGGATGCAGTATCACTGAACCTGAGGGTTCAGAAATCACCATTAAAAATACATTCTGGATACTTTTTCTTTGCCTTCTGATGTTTGTGCATTGACTGGTCATGTTCTCAAGTTTTCCTCTGCAGCCATGAGGGCTAACTTTGTACTGCTGAATGAATGCTGAGATCCTTACTTATTCACCTGCCTCCAGGAGATGGGGCTTGAGGATAAACACCAGACCACCACCAGATTCAAGATACAAATACTGTAAACTTCCGATAATCCGGCACCTTTAGGACCCAGGGGTGCCGGATTATCAGATATGACGGAGTACCAGAAGGGGGGCTATAAGGGGTCTGGGGTGGGGGGGGGCGGGGTCGGCGAGGAACTGCGCAGCGTGGGAGAGGGCAGTGCTGCGGGACCAACCCAGCAGCACCCCAGCTGCTCTGCCCTGGGCTTCCCCAGGTCCACCACTGCTGAAACTGACCAGCGGCGGACTTGGGGAAGCCAGGGGCAGAGAAGGTCCAATTGTCCGGCTGGCCGGAGCACTTCCGGGTTCCAGTTGGTGCCGGACTGTCAGGAGTGCTGGACCACTGGATGCCGGACAATTGGAGTTTTACTGTACAAGAATTTGACACTGGGGAAGTACTTGCCTTATGTTACCAGGAAGCCTGTTGCAGAGCCAGAATAGAACCCAGAAGTCATTCCCATGTCTAAGCTATAACCATTAACCCATTATTTACCTTCCCCAGACTCCACTTAAGGAATTCATGCTGCTGATAGCCCAGAATGTAGGAAGAATACACTAGAGTAGTGAGTAGGGAAGGCAAATCAGATTTTTTTTTCAATCATTCCATAATGTCTACAAAGAAACCATTCTGTGTTTTATTTTCAGCCTCATGCCTGAGGGGCCCCTGGGTCAGTGCAGCCAGTATTTAAGTGCTACTCCAAATCAAGGGTGTAGGGATACATGATTGGAAAGGACCTTCTGGGTCATGGAGTCCAATCTCCAGCTATGAACAATATGGGTTAATTGAAAACAACACACAATGTATCTCACTTTGATTTAAAATTAAAATCAGAGCAACTGGATTTTCTATTCTGGCAACTGCATTTGAGAGGCAGGTTGGCCTTGGACAAGCTGCCTTAAAAGATCATTTCCTGGTGTGTGTCAACGTGCCAAAATTCCTATCCCATGCCTGGCAAGCAGCAGCCCTACTCTTGAGTTACATATAAGAAAGATGCTGCTTCCAGAGGTGGGATGTTGTGAGCCCTCGGCGGGGTGGTTTGAGGAGATTTAAGAATTCCAGTTAGTATGGCTGTGCCCCTTCCAGACACCTATAGCAGCATCTCCAGGTCTAATCCTACTGAATCTCTGCTTAATGAGAACAGGAAACTGGTTTGAACTTCAGAGGAGGCAATACAGAACACACATGCTGCAGTGCCTGGGAGGAGTGGCTAGGAAGGAGGATACTGCCACCTGTTGCTAGCCACTGGAATTGCAAATCTGTTCAATTTAATGCCGTACAACTTTATTTCTCTTTGTTCTGGTCTTGTGTGCTCCTTTAGTGTGGACCAGTGCTTGGCAGTATATATAAAAACCTAAAAGATCTTATAGCATATTTTAGAAAAGAAGTTACCCTACCCAAACTACAGCTTGGGAGCTTCATTGTACTCCCCTAAACATTTCCCTGTACTTTCAATAATAATGAAAAAAAGATCTTCACTTCCTTTCCCACACTGTTTTGTAGAGCTGCTATGCATTCATTAAATGGTCATGTTGTTCCACCCAAAGGCAGATGCATTGTAATGGAATGTAATAAGGTTTCTATGACCCAGATGGAATGGAAAAGTCCTATTAGATCATCTAGTTCATCCCTCTCTCAAGAGCCTATTAAGGAAACTTAGTTTGAGTGAGAGGTGAAGTACTCTCATAGATTAGAAACTAGTTAAGACAGTGATTAGAAAAAAGGAGGAGGAATAAATGGTCAGGTATCCTTTTGTGGAATAGGGTTAACAGTGGAATGCCCCACATTTCTGTACAAAGGCAGTGTTTGATATTCATAGCCTTACAAAAATGGTGATCAAGGAGATGGCAAAATTTGCAGATTATACAAAAAGTATTCAGGTTAGTTAAGTGTGGAGAGAATTGTGAAGCTCCTCAGAGGGACCTGACCACGCTAGGTAAATGGGCAACAGGATGGTACATGGAACACATTACAGACAAGTGTAAAGTAATTAAAAAATAATTACCTGGGTGTCCTTATGGGCAGCTCAATAAGAACAGCAGCTATTTGTGCAGCAAGTGGTTTTAAAACTCAACATAACAAACAAAATGCTAGGGTATATAAACAATGGGATAGAAACCTGAAAATATTAGAATGCCACTATATACACACGAGTCTCATCTGGACTATTGTGTTGGTTTGTGGTCACCTCCTATCCAGACACAAAACAAAGGCATCAAAAGCAATTAGAGGCACGGAAAGATTTTCAGATAAAGGGCTAACGAGTAAAACTATATAGTTTAATAATGAGAATAATAGAAGAGGATGTCATTTGGAGATTTAAAATAACTAATGTAATAAAGTAGGAGTCTCCTATTGACTTACACAATGTACTTGTATGGCCAACAAGACCATAGTGAAGGGGTCAATTCACAGGGAATGTGCCTTGTTGTGGCTAGGTCTGGGAATTAGCTGTCACTCCATCTGGCATCTCTGCTGCCAGTTGCTCACATTATGGCCTCCTTCTCTCTCTCTCTCTCTCTCTGTGATTCAGTGTGCTCCCTCTCCATGGCTCAGCTCACTATATTGTAGTCCCCTTCTAGGGTATCAAACTCCCACTGGCCAAGCTATTTCAGGCAGTCTTCCAATCTAAGTCTAGGTCCAGTGCCACTTTCCCAGTGGTAGGTTGGGGAACTCAGGTCTATCTACCATAGTCCAGGGACCCTGTGACTAGCAACTGAGGTGTCTGTTTCTGTTTCCCTTGGCTTCTTCCTACTTCACCCCTCTGTCTCGCAGTGGCAGACTCACAGTGCTCCGTTATTGACTTTTTAAATCAAGATTGAATGTTTGTGGTTTTTTTCTAAAAGATCTGCTCTAGGAATTATTTTGGGGAAGTTCTATGGCCTGTATTCAACAAGAGATCAGGCTAGGTGATCACAGTGGTCCTTTCTGGCCTTATAATCTATGATCCAGTTTTACAAATGAGGAACTGATGCACAGAGAAATTAAGTGAGTAGACCATTGGTCTTATCCATGGTGATTTCTGTGTTTCTATTCAGGGTTGAATTCTACCATGTAGTCTCTTCGGGGCTCTGTACAACTTACTTTTAAAGCTCCCATCCCTTCCCTTGGGAGATGATTTCATAACTTAATAAATCTCACAGCCAGGAGTCTATTCCTGGCAATTAGAGTAGATCATCTGCGCAGATTCACCCCATTCCTCGTTCTCTCCCTTTGCATCACTCTGAGCAGATCCTCCCTCCTTGGAATTTGCTCCCTCTGGAGTGGTGTCAGGCTCTTCCAAGCTCTCAGTTGCTGGCTAGCTGAGTTGCACAGATAAACTGGTCATTTTCTTCTGATGTGTCCATCTATGAAACGTCAGTTGGAGCTATTTGGTTCAGTCAAAAATGCACATGAATTTTACAAAAAGCTCTGACCTGCTGGGAGCCGAAGGGGGGCCTGTTTTTAGTAACACGGTCTGTCTCTCTCTTTGTATCCTACAGGAAGAGCCAAAAAGCAAATCCAAAATCTGTGCCAACGTTTTCTGTGGAGCCGGGCGGGAGTGCGCCGTGACAGAGAAGGGGGAGCCCACCTGCCTCTGCATCGAGGTAGGGCATGGAGCAGCTTCTAAGTGCCCTGGGGTAGAGAGGAGATGGGGAGTGGAGACTTCTTGAGGTCAAAGGGATCCATATAAAACACCCTAGAGTGCAAGCACTAGCCAGTAGACCTTCAATGGGGATTGCTCTTGAGCAACACCAGGACAGCAGGGGCCCTTCAATCTATAGCCCTTTTGTTCCCCAGCTCTCCCTGCCAATTTCCCCTCCATAGTCACACACATTCTCTGCCCCTGCTACCCACTCTGACACTGTCCTCCCAGACACCCAGAATTGGCTCCTTTTTCTCCCCCTATGAACACCAAGCGGCCTGCCACAATGTGGTGCTCTCCTCTGGTGCCGAGGAAGGGCACTGCAGCACACACACTGACCCATGCCAGGTAGTGCCAGGGTGGCTACGGTGCCTATACCCTCACCACTTACTCCATAGCCCAGAATGTCAAACAGCTCGGAGGAGCTACAGGAGTTCTCCTCCTGTGGAAAAGGAATGGCAGGGTGTCAGCACACAACAGACTGCTGGGGTGAGGTGCACTTGCTCTCAGCAAGCCTGCTGTCAGCGTAGCCAGTCTGTATGCATTACAGAAACCAGCACGAAACTCTTTTTTGGGGATGATAAAATCTCAACCAGGATGCTGAGATGAGAAGGCCCAGTTTGAGAGAGACAGACTCTGCCCACTTTACTGTCTTCTTCCCATTACAAAAGCCGTTCATTCTTACATCAACGGAACACTGGTTTTTAAAGAACCTCTCCTGCCCCCACCCTCACGTGAAAAGAGCTATAAGCAAAGTTCGGTTACTTTTACCCAGGCTAAGAGAAAAACCCAAAGAAACCCCCAACCCAGACAGTGGAGATGCCGTATTCCTTCTCTGTGGATAATCTGCTGTGTCACTTCCAGACAGAGCCCCATGTTCCTAACTGCGAGCTTGCCTGCAGTTCTGCAGCAGAAACCTTGAAATGGTATCTGCAGCCTATGCAGACAGATCCACTCAAAGAAAGACTTCACACACTCTCTCTCATTCAGAGACACAGGTTTGAATGCACACACAATATGCAAACTCACACGTACTCAGAAGCAAAGATAAATATAGCATAGATAGTATAGGTTGGACCTCTCTGGTTTGGCACTCTTGGGACCTGAGAGGTCCCGGACAAGGGAGTTTGCCGGACCAGGGGAGGTCTGGATGGTGGGGCAGCAACGTCCCTGCTGGGTTCCTCTCCCCAGCCTTGCAAACTTCAGCAGCCTCTCTGGCCTCACGGCAGCCCCACCAGAGCTCCCAGCAGCCCTGTGGGCTTTGCTGCCCCACAAGCTCTGCCCCCTTTCCCCCTGCAGGCTCTGCTGCCCACTGGCCTTGCTGGCTGGCTGGCTCCACTCCGAGCTGCTAGCAACTCCTGCTGCTGGGACTCTCTAGTCTCACAACATCTGTGATTCTGCCAGACCATGGAAGTTGCTGGACTAGAGAGTCATGGACCACAGAGGTTCAACCTGTAGTGATTAACTTCTGTGTTCAATAAATTTGCTTTCATTAAGTCACCTGTGTGGTGGGAGTGCTGGGGGCTGGGTTAACAGAAGTTTGTGCGTAAGAGGTCCCCATTTTACGGACCACATGGCTACTGCACAAGACCGGACAGGTTCTGGGTGGTTAGTATCTCTCAGTCTCTACTTGTGCAAAGTGCCCATGAGCTGGGCTGACGCTGGGGCTCCACACCGCCTCCCTCCAGCCATTCTGGGACCTGGGCAAAGCTCTTATCTTTCTGGCTCTTTTCCAGCAATGCAAACCTCACAAGAGGCCCGTGTGCGGCAGCAATGGCAAGACGTACCTGAACCACTGCGAGCTGCACCGGGATGCCTGTCTCACTGGCTCCAAGATCCAGGTGGACTATGATGGCCACTGTAAAGGTAAAGCCAGCCTTAGGGGCTTTGGAGCTACTGTCACTCAAACAAGACCATCCTGAGAGGAGGTGCTGTGGAGAAGAAAGCAACCTTGTGCCTTCTGATCTCTGACAAGATCACAGATGGGATCAAGGGGCATAACATGGCTCCCATCTGCCTCTCCTTTCAAACAATCAACATGCCCTTTCCATCCACCTGGCGAGGAAGATCCAAGTCCACAAAATGATGTGGAGAATTGGCTTGGTCCTTGTTCAGTCAGAACTGTCACTGACTCCAGGATTCACTCTAGGATTTTGCCATGCCAGGCGTGGCTCTTGGGTGCCTGGCCAGTTGCCCACATGGTCATCTGTGCCACATGGTGTGTCCCTGTCCCAGGTGTTCTGACAAGAGGGGCCCTGGCCTTTCAAAGGATTCCCTCTCTCTGATAATGCTGGTCTGTTAAAGGCGCAGCTCCAAAGAAGAGTGTGAGGGAATGTGCTAGCGAGCGCTGCGATAAGCCCCGCCGTCGCCAAAGGTGCTTTCTCACTGGGAGGTAACAGAGCTCTTCAGAGGCTGCAAGTGCATAGAGCTGGCTCTCTCCCTGCTCACCCCCATTTGTTCCCTGTGAGGGAGAGTCTCATATAACTTCAGCAGCACAGTGTCAGGGCCTAAATGCAACAGTGCAAATTAGGGATGTCAGTGAATAGCCATTTACACAAGTAATATCTGTTAATCTTAATGGTTACACACACACTGCCTTGCTGCCTCTGTATCAGAGGCAGCAAGGGGGAGGAGGCTTTCCACATGTGACGGCTCCCACAGAAGCTCCACGTGTGACGGCTCCCCCCTTCCCCGCTGCCTCCCACAGAAGCAGCAGCATGGTGGGGGCAGGCGGGAGGCTGTATGTACGGGCAGCCAGCTTTTAAGCTGACTCTCCACACATGCCGGCTCCCACAGAGCCGTCTGTGCCAACCCTCCCCCTCCGCTGCCTCCCACAGAGGCAGCACAGGGAGGGCCATTCAGGAGCTGGCGCTTGTGGGGGGAACCAGCTTAAAAGCCAGCTCCCCACAAGCACTGGCTCCACCACTACCCCCTGCATGTAAATGTATCACTGCTAAAAATTTCAGCAGTTACACGTTTACACAGATATACTATTTGGAACATCCTAGTTCAAATTCCTGCTCGGTAACCTCCTTTTTTCATGTTTCCACTAACAGAGAAGAAGTCTGAGAATTCAGCTGCAAGCCCAGGTAAGAAACCATCTCTCCTGTCACACCTGACAGCTCTGAATTCCTCCCAGTGTATTTGCATGGTGGAAGAATGGGCAGTTTAACAGGGAACTGCACAGCTTTAAGGTGGAATGAACAAAAAAAAAAGCCATTTCTCAGGATGGGGACAGAACTTACCAGCAGACTTTCACATTACAGAGCCTGTACTTTGCTAAAGGACAGAGCGCTTGAGAGGTACAATATAGTGGCCTGAGCATAGGACTGGGAACCTGCAGCATTGGTGTCTATTCCTAGCTTTGATATTGACACTGCATTAGCCTAACTACATCAACTTAAGCGCTACGCTTCTGTCAGAGGTGGAATTAAGTCGTGTTGTGGGCGAGTTACATCTGTGGGAGCTGCCTTATGTCGACCTAACTCTCCATGCAACCATAAGGACTAGATTCTTAGGGCCAGATCCTCAGCTGCAGTAAACACTCATAGCTCCATTGACTGCGGTGCCGATGGGAAAGCTCTCACAAGTTGGAGGTCTGACCTTAATTTTCACTAGGGATGTTTACCTGTAGATAACTACACGATGAACTGATAAGCCTGGGCTTATCTGATAATCCTGTCGACTGCACGCACCCCCACCCATTGTCTCTGTATCAGAGGCAGCGGGGGTGGGGAGGCTGGTGCCTGTGGGGAGCCGGCTTTTAAGTCAGCTCCCCACAATCATTGGATCCGCCCTCCGCCCTGCCCTGCCCTGATAGGCAGCAGTATGGAGAGTGAGGGGGGCAGGAGCCAACACATGTGGGAAGCCGGCTTTCAAGCCGCCTCTCAATGCACATCGGCTCCATGGACCTGCCTGCCCTCTCCTCACGCCCACCACTGCTGCCTCCTATAGAGGCAGCAGGGTGGTAGTCACGGGCCACCTGTCTCCCCCCTTCTGCGCTGCTGCTGCCACTTCTTTCATAGGCAGAAGGGCAGGGTGAGGGGCTGCCATGAAGCAGCCTGTTTCCCCAGCAGGACTGGGCTCGCCATGGACAGAGACTGCTTCGCGGTAGCGGCCCTGTCCATAGTTGGTCCCCCCTCATGGACCAACTCCCGCCTGCCACCCTGCGCTGCTGCCTCTGATGCAGGGTGGCAGTGGGTCCCCGGAAGTGGGACTGAGAGCACACTGGCTACCAACCCCAGTCCTGGCGACTATCAAATAGTCATGTAACTATTAAAATTTGATGGGGTAACACGACTATTCAGTTATACTCTAATATCCCTAATTTTCACAGCCACCAGGAGAGAGTCGTGGCTTAGAAAACAAGCCCATTTTGGACTTTGGTGAGCACTAGCGCTCTTCCTTTTTGTGCAATAGTGGTGTAGCTGTGACGGACATAGTGAAGAGGCCAGAGACTGGTTAGACTCTAGAGACTGATTCCCCTCTCCTTCCTCAAGAGATTGGCCTCTCGGGCTCAGTGTTGAGGGTCGCTGACAGAGCATGTAGTAGAGGAAGTTTGTCCAGCTCAGACCCCTGTATTGTAGATGGAGACCTTTATTTTCTCCAGGGCTGCCAAGCTGCTGCCTTTCACCAGTGCTAAATACATTTGGGCTATGTCTACACTCGCAGCTTCTTGCGCAAGAACATCTTGCGCAAGGGTTCTTGTGCAAGAAATCTTGCGCAAGAAAACATCCACACTGCCATGTGCGAGCTGTGCTTTTGTGCAAGAGCGCCCATGGCAGTGTGGATGCTCTCTTGTGCAAGAAAGCTCTGGTGGCCATTTTAGCCATAGGGCTTTCTTGCGCAAGAAATCCCTGCTGAGCGTCCACACTGCCCACTTGCGCAAGAGCTCCTGCGCAAGAGGGCTTACACCTGTTAAAAAAGAGCGTAGCTCTTGCGCAAGGAGCCCTCTCTTACCATGCCGTACTGTACATTTCCTTGCGCAAGAGTGGGCGGGCAGTGTGGAGACTGCAGATTCTTGCGCAAGAACGCCATACGTGCGCAAGAAGCTGCGAGTGTAGACATAGCCCTGCTCTTTCCAGACACAGAGATTGGGGAAAACAGGACAGGATGGTCAGCCACCTTCCTTCCTCCAATGGGGTGTTCTTTCAGCCCATGGGGTGATAACATTGCATGTGACCAGAGAGGAGACCATTTCAGACCCATCTTTGTCATCTTCCACACACATCGTGAACAAGAGGAAGTCACCATAGCAAAGGGGACTGAAAAGATTAAGTTGTTACCATTCTACTGCCTTTCCACTGGGTGACACCCTTATCCCAAACATTGCTCCTCGCTCAGCACCTTCAGCTGGGTTTGGAGATGGCTGGTCTCCATTCATACCCCTTTGGTGACAAAGAGAAACTTGTGTCACTTGTAACTTGATGTTAGGTTTTCAGCTGTTTCTTTATGGTGCCCGAGTTGTATTTCTTCTTCTCTCTCCCTC